CCCCCCTCCCTTATTCCCTTTCCCTCTCACCCCCACACCCTCCTTTATCCTCCTGCCCTTATCCATATATACTATGTATACAGGTAGAAAGTTTCCTCCCAGAAGTAGAGGTGCGTGCTGTGATAGAGAGTCAGTTTATGGCACGCAGGGTCTACGCTGAGGCTGTCGGACTACAGTTGGGTGAGGTCTTCTCTCCATCTCCCACCACCACCCCCTGTGTGTGTATGCCGGGAGTGGAAGGGTGATGGTAGGCGGTTTGGGGCGGGGGAAGGGGGATAACGCTATCTATATATTATTCTGGTGGGTTCAATCTTTTGGTCACTGTTAATGTTAAGAAGTTATTTTGAGCTGAACAGTTTATGAAATTGTAGGTTTTGATAACGTTGAATCATAAAATACTCCAGAATTGAGCCATTGCTTATTATTATTATTATTATCAATTATATTGCAGTAACGTCCATGAATCTCGAACATAAAAATCACGAATTCTCGGGTATCTCGAACATAATGCTCGGTCCCATTTAAGTTCCTACGTTTTCTTTGTGTTGACTTCATGGAATTCCCGAACACGCAACACTCGAATCTCGAAAAAATCCACTTCGCATTCTCAACTAAAGACCTAGCTTGTTGTTGTTGTTAGCGATCCAGTAGCATCTGAGCGTTAACTCTTCTGCATGATACCATTCGGTAATAGCTGCATGTCTGTTCTAATTGTTGTCTTGAGGAGTAGAGGCAATTAGATTGTGGGGTAGCAAGACCTGGGCTTTACCGCCTCTCTGGCTGCGGGTAGGTATTTCTTTGTTATTGTTACAGCCAAAAGGTGGTCCTTGTGTCACCACGAGAGGCTGGAGGAAGGGGGGACAGGGAAGGGGGAGTTGGGGAATGATGCTGACGGCATTGCATGACTGGCTCTCCATGCCTGCAATAATGCTGTTGGAACCGCACAGTGCGGATGGCAAGAGTAGTAACTTTCTGTAAGCCAATGAAATGAGTGGAAGGGAATGACGTCTGACTCAGTATGAGTCGGCTGTGCACACATGAGATTTTCTGCTTTCCACTTTCATTCATCTTCTTTCTTTCTCACCGTCAACACGTTCATCAAGGGAGCTAACCATGTTAGTTGTTTTAATGTCCTTTTTTACCTTGCTTGATTTTCTCTATTTTTTAAAGACTTTTTTTGTTTGGGGCTTTCCTGAACAAGACGAATTAAGGAAATCTCGAACACTATTTCCAATCCCAGACGAATTTGAGTTACACGTGTTTGACTGTATTATTATTGTTGTGTGTTTGGAATATTTCTGAGCGTTGTTACAACATTTGACCACTTGTTGATCACATATGGTTGTATGAGATGTATCAACATTTAGGTTATATATACGTGCGGAAGATAAGAGGTGTTACTGGAGAGTAACGTACACATAGAAAGAAAGAGGAGAAATAAAGAATTGCAATAAAAATGTGGGATAAGAAAGAAGGCGCATACCACACCAGAGCACCGGCCAACCACCAACATCTGTTCAGTTGATGATCACATATGGTTGTATGTATTGGGGTGCTCCATTAGCTCTATTGGTGTCATGCTGGACTGTGGAGTGGACAGCCGTGGTTCGAATCCCAGACTGGACATCCTGAACTCAGTTCGCTTTTTGGAGTTGTCAAGGCTCTCAACCCATTTGGCTCTGTCCTATTAGAGACGGTCGTTCAATTTGGAGGTGCTGCCTCTTAATAGTGTTGATAGGAGCGTTAAAGCCGTACACTTGCGCACTTTTCTGTATAGCCTACATATTGTATTGTTCCAACTTCTGTTGTTATTTCCCTCAGGCCCCAAGACCCGCGTGATTGCTACTGGTGGTGCGTCTCAGAACCAGGCCATTTTACAGGTAAAGAACTCGTCAGTGCTGATTTAGTTGATGGTCTACTGAAAGTCCTGCCTGAATGACCACGAGTACTGCGATATGACACGTCTAGTGTAGTTTAAATCCTGCCTGACTGACCAGTCTACTGTGATATGACACGTCTAGTGAAATAAAGTAGTCTCCGCCTAAACGAACGGTGCTCGGGAGGGCTCCTTAGCGTGTGTTTATACAGAGCGTGCGTTTACATGAACCTTTGCAAAGGGAGGAAGGGACGCAGTCATCTCATTGCCTTGGTATTCTAGTGACCTCCCTTTGGGGTGGGGGTCACTTTGAGCTGATAATGTAACGACGTGTGACTGTTTTCTGAAGGATTCCCCGACTACGGTTAATAATACAAAGGCGTTGAATGGGCGGAGAAAGGGAAAAGGGGGGGGGGGGTGCAGAAAGACCGACTCAATGTTATGAAATGCACCATAAAATTATGTCGGGAACAGATAGCCTTAGAGGAAATTGTTGGTGATAGCCATAGAGACGACGGCCCGGCCACGTGGCTTTCCAAGCGACCACCCCCAACTGTGAAATCATAGACGACATCAGAATCATAGATCTCTACATTCAGAGAAACATTTCTCTTGTCATTCGTTGAACAAGTACATTACATAAGTTCTTCGAGTCCAGTTGATTAGGCTTACTCTACTAATCTTTAATCCTATAGAGACCTATCTAGTGTTTTTTAGCATTCCCACCTTTTGCACATCATAGGCCTAGGTCTAACTAAACATTACATGCAGTCACCCAAACCCCAGTCAGAAACCTTTTAAAGATGCATTTCCAGTGACCAATCAAAAAACATTTCAGTCCCCCAACCCTCCCAAATTTCACCGATCTGTCCTAGACCTATGTGTCTGCGGACAGTTGGGTGTGAAAGTGCTGTACATCACTCTCTTTGTTCGACGTGAGGGGCAGTCTCACCAAATTTCCGGCTTTCTAGGCTTGTCTTATGCAAGCTGTGCAGATTGTAGAGAAAATTTTCCTTTTTCAAGCTTTACCTGTCGGCGTGTTTCGCGGATCGGAGCGTGCATTTAGAGGCAGTGACCGTGCATTTGTACGTCTACATTATATAGTAATAAACCCATCAGATGCCGAAAGCATGCGTTTGAGCGGAGTGTGATTTTTGTATGACGTGTGTTCAGGTGGAGACTACTGTATAAGTCCTGCCTGACTGACCAGTCAACTGCAATATGACACGTGTATTGCAGTATAAGTCCTGCCTAATAGGCTATGGTAACGACAGTGCGGGGGGCATTTAGTTAAAGGTGATGGCGTTAACAAAATTGCAGTGTATGTGTGGGTGGATTGTTTATTTTGCAGTGTCATTTAGATCAAACTATTTTGTGGTGGTATAGATTATTATTGACACGTAAATTGCGACAGCATTTCATCCCCCCACCCTCTTGTTTCACTCTTTGTGAGCATGTCAAACTTTTTAGATAGGCAACTGCACCCTCACCCCTCCGGTAGTTTAATTACCTACCAAGGACATCCTCTAAAAACCCGTTAATCCTGTGTAAAATATCCGTTACACCCTAACCCCCTCATATTATATAACCTACCAGTGACACCCTCTAAGCACTGGCTAATCCTTGTAAAATGTCCTTCTCCTGCCCTCCCTCCCTCCCTCTGGCACTCTGTCCCTTCCTCCCACCCTTCCTCCCACCCTTCCTCCCACCCTTCCTTATACCCTCCTCCCTCCCCACCCCCTAACCCTTCCCTCCGTGCCCCTCTCCTCACACCCTCCCTCTCATCCATCTCTTCCCCCGCTCCTCCTCCTCAGGTTTTATCGGACGTATTCAACAGTCCTGTGTACATCAAAGACGTGCCTAATTCTGCCTGCCTTGGGAATGCCGCCAGAGCCAAACATAGTAAGTCTGTCTGGTTTTGTGTGTGTGTGTGTGTGTGTGTGTGTGTGTGTGTGTGTGTGTGTCTCTTACAGGAGCCAAAGACCCCCTCCCCCCCCCAGCCCCCTTCGTGGCTTAAGATTATATTTGAACATCACCTTAGAGAGTAACATACAAAGAAAAGGAGAAGAGATATTAGGACGACAGGTGTTTGATATGAAAGAAAGAGCAATCCATATATAGAACACTCGCCACCCCCCACCCCCCCCCCACTTACATTGTCTTTGTTTTTGTATTTTCCAGCATTATTAGGTCCTAATGTGCCTTTCTCTTCGGTGGTGGAGGGCATGCAGGCACCTCAACTTGTGGCTTCACCGCAGGGAGATTCTGAGGTGAGGATGGACAAATAGACAGACAGATGGAGAGATGGACCGACAGACAGACAGATGGAGGGATGGACTGACAGACAGACAGACAGACGGAGGGATGGACCGACAGACAGACAGATGGAGGGATGGACAGACAGACAGACAGACAGATGGAGGGATGGACTGACAGACAGACAGACAGACAGATGGAGGGATGGACTGACAGACAGACAAACAGATGGAGGGATGGACGGACAGACAGACAGACAGATGGAGGGATGGACCGACAGACAGACAGGCAGATGGATGGATGGACAAACAGACACACAGTCACACACCAGACAGACACATACCTGAGTTGTGGCTCGTGGGGGGGGGGGGGGGGAGACGGCAGAGATAATAATAATAATAATAGATAGCATTTGTATAGCGCATATCCCCGCTCAACAGCAGGCTCTATGCGCTTTTACCCCAGCAGACCATAGAACACTCTGAAACATTCTCAGCTTCCCGGGAAGCATACAGTGCAAGCAGCTGATTAAGCGCCTAAACACAAACAAACTGACAAGATCTTTCACTGTCTATAGCCGGGTACCCATTCCCACCTGGGTGAAGTGAGGAAAATTCGTGTAAAGTGCCTTTCCCAAGGACACAACGTCGGGTCCCTGACGGGATTCGAACCCACGACCTTACGGTTGCGAGTCCGAGAGCCTAACCATTAGGCCACCGACACCACACTGAAGTGTTGAGGTGTGGATGTACAGATAGACAGTAGACAGTGACAGAAAGATGGATGGACGACTTGAACCGACTTTTAATTTGACACCTCCTATTCCTATTGTCTAAATGTGATGTGTCACTCATTTTGTTGTGTTCCTTTTGATTTGTCTTATATCTGTATCGCTGTCATTTATCATGAATACTGCCATTCTTTTTTACTTCCGCGATTTTTGTTTTGTTTTTTTGGATGGTAAATATGCCTGTTGTGTTCTGTCTATTATTAAATGATTGTACAGCATTCAGATCTTGTTTACCAGCATCTGTGGTGTAACGTTTAGGTGCTTGGCTGTCAAAGAACGCAGGAGACCTGAGTTCAATTCTGGAGTGGGGAGAAAATTTTTGTCAAGCACCTTTGTCTTTCTGCTGGGATGTTGTATCCCTCTAAGCCCGGGTTGGTTCTGAGGCAGGATGGGAATCTGCCTACTAAATGATCTAAATTGTGTTGATGGAGGGGGTGAGACACGTAAAAACACCAATATTATAAATAATAAAAATTCAGAGCTCGTTTCCTAATGGAATGGAGCATATATTATTCTATCTTTCAATTCATAGTACTCTCATTTTAATGTTCAAAAAGTGATGTGATAATATGGTAGCAATTGTGCTGTGTTAGTATGAATGTCTGCTTATGTGTTGTTAGCGTTTATCTAAAGAGCAGATGTACATATTCATTCACTTGCGTTTTTTGTTGCGATAAAGGTTTTGTAAAGCACTAGAGCTGTATTATGCAGGAGTGGGTGCTAAAGAAATTATCTGCATTATTATTACAGTCCGTGCCGGCTTTAAGCACGCCGGCATAAAGCACGTTTCGGACTCAAGCACGCTAAACGGCTCTTACCGAATTTTTGCTATATAAATTACACGCCTTTAAGCACGGAAACGTCGGCTTCAGGCACGCTTCATTTACAAGACGGTCAATACTTTCATGATGACCCATCGAAGTTCGAGCACAGTCTACACCGCAGCAGTGGGGTGTGTTAAGAGAGACAAAAAGAACGCAAGTGATGGAGACACACACTCACACGGGTGGAGAGGAAGGCAGAGAGATGTACACAGCCACGCACAAAGACATAAGATCTAGCCTAGGGCAAAGCTACACACAGACCAAAAAAAAAATACAAAGAGAGTCGGGGAGACGAGAAAAGGAGGCTGGCTGCGATTTCACCTTTGACCCTCGCGAGGTGGGATGAAGGCGGTGGTATGAATGTGGCACAGCGGGCAGTGGTACGCACAGGCAGTGTGTAGGCCTTGTGTTCTGTATCATGACTGGCCGTGTAAATTAAATTTTCATTTCCCATTTTCCCTTTCGACCACAAAACAAAACAAAAACAAACAAGCAAACAAAAACTACCATGGAAGGTAAAAAAACAGTGCACACTTTTGCGGGACCGCTATAGGCCTACTTACAAACAAAGGGAAATAGCACGCGAAAATTTTCTACCTGAAAATCTCTGCATTATGTCTACTTCGCACTCAGGCACGCTTCAGCATTAAGCATGTTTAAGCTTTCTCCCGATGACCGTGCTTAAAGCCGGCATGTACTGTATTATTAGTATTATAATATAAATGCTATTTATTAATAATTATCATTAATTATTATTACAGTGGAGTCCACTTATAACGAGTCTTGAAATAACCGAAAAGTCTGTTATAAAGACACTATTCTAAAACCCCATTTTTTCTCTTCTTTATCTTTGTAAATAAAATACTGCTATAATGCAATCAGACACACATGTGAGTCGGTTATAGTGGAATATTTCTGCTGCTGTGCACACCGTATAGGTCAATCATAATACAGTGGAACTCAGATTCAACGAGGTCGCCGGACCTGACCTAAAATCTTGTTGAATCCGAGTGTTCGTTATAGAAAACACGAGGTTTTGTGTAGATATTTACAGGCACAGAGCAAGTAATGAATAAAGAGAAGTCACAAGTAGTGCCTGAAATGCCTGCATATTATGAGCTGTGTAAAAAAAAAACAACGATTCGTTCAAATGCACACGCCTGTGTCATCTCGATTGTTTACCACAAAGTTGTGTTGCTGTGTAGAGCCAAACATACGGCAACTTTTGATTCCATAGACAAGCGCACAATTCATTACGTAGATCTACGTCAAGACTAGCTTATCATTGTAATAATGATCAGTTGCCGAGGAGAAAAAAAGACTGAGACGCGTTTGTATCTGCGACGTTCAACGACCGGACCGCTAGAGCCCCCCCCTCCCCGACACGCACACACAGTCACACGTGTGCAAGCCGCCCATCCGACCCCGACACACGTCAGAGTAGACACGTGCGCATGCCAACAACGCATGTGTTGGTATGAAAAAAGGCCGCTGATTGGTCGCATGCAATCGGCAAAGTGAATAGGCCTAATGGTTCACAATGAAGAAGCAATGGATGGTTTCTGGGAACAGATAAAGTTTGTTCTGGGAGAAAAATGAGCGAAGCCACGTCTGCGGGGGCTGTTCACCCTGGAAGCGACCTCGTTGAATCCGAGCTCACTGATTTAAGGGCTCGTTGAATCCGGGTTATTTTTTATTGATTTTAAAGAAGAAAAAAAAGGGGAATCTATCTCATTTCGTTGAATCCGAGTCCTCGTTGAATCTGAGCTCGTTTAATCCGAGTTCCACTGTATAAAACCTCGCCAGTTGAGAAACTTGTTTGTGAACTAGCAAAACAAAGAATGGGAGAGCCCACGTGTGTCTATAATGAAGGCCGGAGCGAATGAGCAGGGAGGATCTGGCCTGTGCAGACAAGCAGAACGCATCACGTGATAAGCCAGCCTAGTCTAGATTAATATTATCTAGGCCTACTATGCCTCTCTTTTCTCCGATGCGGGGATGGAGAGGTCACCGTGCTGTGATGGATGGAGCGAATGTGTGACGTGCGCAAGCAGACGGAATGCACCACAGGGTGTGGTGGGGTGGGGAACAATACAGCTGGCGAGTTAACCTAGAGCCTTTTTTTTTCTGATCGTCCACGCCGAGCTGTAAACATCACTAGCACTAGAGAAAGAAACCAAGAGGTTATGTTGAAACGAAATCATTGTCAGGGGAGATAAAAAAAAAAAATAAATAAACAGAACAGCAAACTAATAGAATAGGCCTACTTTGCCATTTCCATTGAATTTATTACTGGATCCCTTAAAATGAGAATCCTACTATAACGGACATTTCACACCCGTCCCCCCCCTCTCGTTATAACAGGATTCCACTGTATTATTATTACAGTTATTATTATTATTATCATTATTATTATATAAACGCCCTGTATTATTGTAATATTATTCTATTTTTATTTTCCTCTTTTGTAGGGGTATACCCGTCTTGTGAAAAGATACCAAGAACTGGAGAAAATGGTGGCCGGGAGCCAGTGAGAAAAAAAAAAGGACACTGTTGGTGAACACTTTGAGTATTGTGTTTCTTATAAATTGATATCGTTACCAGAATTCCACTCTCCATTGTTGCTTTGTTGATGGAATGGTTTTGAGAAAGTCGCTTTCATGAAGGAGCTTTGATTAATAAATGGTTGAGATAGAATTGTTTTGACGAAGACTTTGCTTACTTAATGTGTATGTTTTTACAACCAGAAATTGTATCAATTGTTTATTTTAATACTGCCACAAGCTTTACAAATCAAAATGTTTTTGAGAAATTGTCTTTCTGGACCAGATTATTTGTGGGTGTTATCAGTTCAGTCTGTCTATGTCAGTGCTTCTCAAACTTTTTACAGCCAGTGCCTGGAGAGTGCAGCGGTTTGGTACTTTTGCTGTTACATACAGGAGACTCGAGTTCGATTCCCAAGTGGGAAGAAAATTTTAGTGAGTATTTCAGCATCTGGGTCTTTCTGCTGGGATGTTGTATCCCTCTCAGTCTGGGTTGGCCCTGACAGTAGGTAGGGTTGGAGGCCTGTCTCCTAAATGATCTAAATTTTGTCGATGGGGGCGTTAAAAACACTTACATTAAAAAATGTTGTTAAAAAGAAAGTATAATGGTACAGGTGTTTCTTCTAGTCCAGGAATACAATCTAATTTGTTTTTTTTCTTGATGTTTGAATTACGATGGTGCTCTTATTTGTGATTGACTATCCAAAGTTTATTTACAATTTTGCAATTCCAGTCATGTTTACAGATTTCTGCTTTATTGTTGACTTCCTGCTTGTTCACATACATGGTACATCGGACTGAAGTTCAAGGGATATTACTCTTACTGCAGGCTGGCCAACTTTTCCAAATTCCAGTTTGGACACCCACCGTTATAAATTTTATAACATCCGATTACAAGCACGGCAACAAAACAAAATTATATGGAGTGGAACTGGTTTTGATGCTCTGTATGCTTCCCAAGATGTTGAGTTTGTTTCAGAATGCTTTCAGGTCTGCTGGGATTAATATACCGGTAGTTGTAAAGCACGTAAGGCTTGGTGTTGAGGGGGAATTTGCGCTAATACTAATGATGTTTATTATTAGTGTCGAAGTGCTGATTCTGGGACAGTACCCGAAAATTTCGGACTATTGGCAAGCCTGTTACTGTTACTGCTGTGTCGCTTTGTCACTTGGCGATTTTGAAAACGCCCCTTGAGATCTGTTGGTGATAGTGAAAAATTGTTTTGCAGTTTTTATCCATGATGTTTATATTGTGTACCAGTACTTAATAAAGTCGTTTTAATTCATATATTGTTTGCAAACTGTTCGAATATGCTAAGCGCAGACTGCACAATTTTCACGAGAGAGAAAAACTAGTTTCATACTTTTAACAAAATTTGTATCTGTATTGGGCATTTTTTCTTTTTTCTTTCTTTTTCAAACAATGAGAATTTGAATTACGACAAAATATTTATTGAGCACATGCAACCGATACCACAGATTAAAAAATGGAATTTAAAATTTTCGCTTTGTTGGGCTTAGTATTATTATTACATCTCTGAACTGCTGGCCGACAATATGTAATTGATTTTAATTATTCAAGTGCATTAGTATTTACTTTACTTTATTCAATGCATTTATTATTTCGTTCCTTGAGGAGCCCGGTACATACATATACTAGTATTTTTTCTCAGAAAGCAACATTTTTCAGGAGAGAAAAGGAAACTTTCATTTTTTGAGTGATTGTACCTACTGTATGCACATGTATCATATCTTATTATTATAATATTAATATTATTTCCCAAGTTTACAATAAAGTTCCTACAGCATTCCCATGGTGCAAACTTATACACCACATACCAGATAGAACTTCTGTGTTTCTTCCTCTGTTGTTATTTTGTGTTTAAAATTTTTGTAAGCGTTTTTACGGCACTTGCAACACAATTAGGTCATAGGCCTATTAGTGCAGAAGATCAGAGGTGTTACAAGAGAGTAACAAATAAAAAAATAAAGGAGGAGAGATAAAGACGATAGGAAAGAAGGAGCAAACCACACCAGAGGACTCGCCAACAATCTGACTATTATTGTCGATGTGCTTCTCTTTACTCACCAATTTCTGTGGTGCAGTGATCAGTTGCTTTGTTGTTGCGTTGAGGAGACCCCAGTTCTATTCCCGAGTGAAGAGAAGTTTTTATTGAGTATCTTGGTCGTTCTGCTGAGATGATGTAGGCCTATCCCTCTTCTCTAAGTCTGCCTCCTGTACGATCTAAATTGTGTCGATGGGGGTGTAAAAACACCTACATTAGGAAAAAAAAAACGTTTTCTCCTACACTAAACTTGAATCTCAGGATTTATTGGAACAATCAGCCCTCTCCTTGTAGTAGCCTATAGGGCGGTTGGAGGATGCTGCTGGTAGGTCCTCATTTCTCAATTCTCCCTGGTTTTCTCAATCTATCTGTCTGGCTTTTCCCCTGCACTAAATGATGGTTGCTGTATCGATGTTCTTCTCAAACACATACTCTGACTGACTGACTTCTTCAACCCTGTCTGTCTGGGTCAACTTGGGCAGAGAGAGATACAGTATCCCTTTTAGTTGTAGTAAAACTTTTATGGCACTAGCAACACAATATAAAGGTCATATTAGTATAAGTGCTAAAGATTAAAGGTGTTACTAGAGAGTAACATACAAAGAAAAGGTAGAGGAGAGATAAGGACACACAGATGATTGATAGGAAAGAAGGAGCAAACCACATCAGAGCAGTCATTCACCAACTACCCACACACACAAACACAAAAATACAGCATCCTTGCACAAAGATGGAGACCCCTACTAAGACCACCCCTCTCTTCCTAAATCACCTAAATTGTGCTGCTGACTGAGTAAACCGTGATTAGAATGTGTATATGGAGATGTGTAAATTTTCACCAAAAAAGAGGACGAAGATGATCATGAACTTTATTTACAAAAAACATTTTATTTGATGTTGAATGATACAGTAGATCATGCACTTGTGGGAAAGAAACTATTGGTACAAAAATTGTACTTTTAAGTTCAACAATACCAAAAAAAAAGTAAATAAACTAGTACAAAGAAGCACCTACATGAACCACATCGCCTGCTACAAGCTACATACAGTATACAGTGGTAGAATCCACATTAATAGTCGGAACAGAGCAACATTTGCCAAAGTTTTACCTGGTCTGTTTCAACCAGCATCAACAAAGAATAAGGCGAAGGTGAAACCGGCTACAAAAAATATCTTTAAATCCTCAACATTTCAGTCCTCATGAAATGTGCATGAGGGGACAACACATTTAATGATCATATTGTTTAATGATTATTTTCATATAAAACACAGTTTGGCATAGAAAAAGAAATTAAAGAACACAAAAATGCAGGGCTGCCTACTTCAAATTTCCTATTTCAGGAATATTCGGGGTCAATATCAGGTATTTTGGCAAAAAATCAGGTGCAAAGACAAAGGAGGGGGAAGACAGAGAAGAAAAGTGAGTGAGGGAGACAGAGACAGAGTTCATATATGATATAGTCTGTGCAACTACTGGTGTTAAAGATTTCCACAGAATCTCAGTCTACAAGACTCTCCCAGGAATCTGTCATATTCTGCACCAGTCTCTTCACATCTCTGAGGAGAAATAGAAATGTCTACTCAGTAATAACACTCATTTTCTATTTTTAAAATTTGTTATTGGTTATAGATCTATAACTCAGACATCCAAGACAACAAAAAAAAAAAAGTAGACTTATCAATAGCATTATGTACTAGAGCTATGCCAATTCGACTTTACTATTCGACATTTATGATTTTTGCACTATTCACAAGTATTCAAAGCATGGCAGAGTCATTCGAATGTCGTGTGATTTTAAAAAATGATAATGGATTTCCGTCTCATTTTTCTCAAACTCAAACGTAGAAAAATTGGAGCACATTATAGCTTAAATCATTAAGTTAAATATACAAAAATACTCTTTATTTGATGGTTACGAAACAAAGTGATAAGAAGATCCTACAAGAGTTATAAAACAATCCTTTAGAGAATATCTTTTACTATTCAATATTCACTCGTCACTCTATGGACAGCTCAAGCAAGGGCACATGACTCTTGAAGCGCAGCTAATGTTTTTTTCATGAAGCAGTGCTTCCACCAGCCGAAGCTGAAAAGTAAGGAAAATTCAGCCGGGGGTCTGGGGGCCGCATAGGCCCCCAGCAGGGTCCTGGGACAGCGTCCCGTTGGGGATTCAATGGGCGAAACCCCCAAAGAAATTGAAATTTAGTGCTTTTAGAGGGTTGAAAATGGCATTTGGGAGCCTGTTTGATGAGGTTACCAATAACCCATACTACTTATTTTTTCACCAAGATTTTGTCTTGTTTGAATTCTTCACACATATTTTTCCATTGACGGCAATGTTTACAAGCAGGTTCCCCTTCCATTGCTACTATAATTCAATTAATTTGTCATTGCACCATTGATAGAAGGCAAACCTGGGAATAATTAATAGATATATATATATATATACCTTCACAATACAGTTACCCAGCGTATACCCTAATTTTCCTCAATTTTCACGTCTGAATGTCGCATGTCACAACCTCGGAACACCACTTTGAATTATTCTTGATTTTAGTAGTTTAAGCACAAATTTCTTTCATCGCGGCCCTTATCACATTCCCGTGCCGCAGAATCTTCGCACTGATAATTTCTCTAGATCTAGACAATAAATTTACGAAAAAGTTTCTTTCTGACTGTAATTTTCTAAGATCACAAGTCAATTTACTTGATCAATGCGCAGATTTTCCAGCCGCGGCAACAATCCGAAGATAGACAGACAGAATGAGGAGGGAATGATAGAAAGGAAGACAGTGGCACAAAAAGTTCGCCAGGTTTTGATCAATCTGCAGGTAAAAAATGTACTGCCGACCAACTCGCAATGAATGCATGGGGCATAGCAGCTTAATGGCCAATGGCAGGAAATGTGCAGTCTGGCAGGTTTCTACACCGTAACAAACTATTGCCGAGAGAATTACCGTAAATATCTGTAACTTATACTATACAGGATGATACGAAGGTGAGTACGGGTCTTTTGCTACGGAATTTCGGTAGTCCTACGCTGTAGCAGATTTTTACAGAGGGAGTTGATAATGATGGAGGAACTAGTACTAGTACGGATTTCCGTAAAAATACGAAAGAGTGGAAGCGCTGATGAAGTTAGCTGCCGAAATGAGGTCCCCTAACCCTACTCGAAATTCAAAGCCCTATGAACGGTGACATGATGTCAACACGATGCACTGTCTGCTACAACCACACGCGTGCGCTCAGTGACTGGCGTTGAACAGTGCAAGTCAGATCTGGACTATCACAATATAAGAAAATACGATTCGACGGGGCTTCGAATTGCGGAAGTCAGATCTGGGATTACGTTATATAAGAAAAAACTATTCGACAGCGCTGTGAACACCGAAAGTTAGATCTTAGCTTATCACATATATAAGAAAATATGATTCGACTGTGCTTCGAATTGCGGAAGTTAGATATGGGCTTAGCTTTCATAAGAAAAACCATTCGACGGCGCTGTGAATAGCGGAAGTTAGATCTGGGCTTATTACATATAAGAAAAAACCATTTGACGGCGCAGTGTATAGCTAGCGAATGTAGAGTAGCGGCACTTACATCTGGGTTTATGCTTATCATAATATATAAGAAAAAAACTTTCCAAGGAGGTATTCGAATGTCACAAAAAGTGAGCTCACGCTTCGAAGCTTCGATGATTTTTTGTTTTTTCAAAATCGCACAGCACTATTGTGTATTAAAAAGCTACATTATCTTTACACATGTATAGTTTACGGAGTGGCTAGCCGCCCGATCTCGGACGAGTCGCCTGGCGCTACTGGCCCGTGGGGATTTCTGAACGAAGGGAAACAAATCTGGCAGACTTGCAAGGGCATGATGTGAAACTTGAGTTCGAGAACGGCTCAAAAGAAGGAAAATATTTCTGAAAAATTCGTCTTTTAAGTTAAATAAAATTTGCGGCCGTTTGAGGAAAGTAGCGGAATTTGTGGCCGCGAATAACCACGATGACAGACTTACATGACCTTATTGTGTTGCAAGTACTGTAAAACTCTTTCTGAAAGTAAACTAAAAGATCCTGCGGGTTTTCCTACCTAAACACATCCTCATCCATGCCGTTGGCTGTGACCTGTGACAACAGCTGACAAATTGACCGCTCCAATGACCGGGGTACAAACTGTCCACCATCTGGCACAGGGAGGGGGGGGGGGGGGCGGGGGGAGGGGGCAAGAAAAACAACACAAATATTAACAACCAAATTATTAACTTGAGTATATGAAAGGCTATAGAAACTATCATATTTGCATGCAGTCAATTTTGTCATCCAATTTTTGAACATGACAAAGTACCCAACTCTGCTCCCATTTATTAAGGGGGGGCGGGCGCGGCAGCTGAAGGCTAGCTCTCTTATCAGTGGATCAAATGTTACCAAATTTCACACATATAACAAGCATAGTAAGGAATCGTAAAATCCGAAATAAAAAATTTGAGAAAAACCTTTTGTTTCCATGGATACGGCGCCCATATTGGATTTTGTTGACATGTCTTGACGTAATTTAATACCCCACTTATTTTTCATTGTTTTTTCTGAATGCATCTTGGCAAACAGATCTACAAATCTGTGTGATTAATTTTTCCTAAACGTACTAGAAAATTTGTAATGAACTTTTTCCTGAGGTAATATTCATGTTTGAAAAAAATCCGTTAAAATCCACACTCAAAACACCACCAACAAAAAAACTACTCCATATATCAAAAATTAATCATATCAATTTTTAGTATTACATCTTTTCTTCATTCTGTGGAAATTTCATGAAGATTGGATAACAAATGGTGGAGTTATTCATAGATGAAAACGGACGATAAAGAAAAATAAAAGATTGACTTAATAAGGATGTGTTGGAGACAAACATGCCCGATACAGGAAGAAATAAGGCTTTAGCGGATTCTTATACGGTGAAATAGTTGTAAGAGAGGCTGAAGAAGCTGAAAATGCCTACAACTTAAAAATCCATAGTTTTGAGCTGAATCGGGACTTTCAGGGTGTCTCCCCCCCCCCCCCCCCCCCCCCCCACCTTAATCTATTTCATTTGTGCCAAAACTGAGAAGAAATGAACACTCCATGAAATAATGTACAGCTTGATAAATGATAAAATGGATTGGATGGGGTTCAAAATTTTTCTAATGACTGTCTAAAAACACCAGTGATACAGTGAGCCAGCTGAATTGGCGTGCGTGCTATTTACCAAGAGTAGATCTCTAAGTGTCAACAGTCGATTAAATTGGCTGTACATTTCATATTTGGTGCTACTGCCAATTAAATCAACTGTTAGTTGAGTTACTTTTCAGTTCGTTTATCCAGGGGGTGGGGGTGGGGGGGGTTGTCTTGCCAAACAATGCAACCCCCTTCACAAGCGGGCGCTATTTCCTCTTTACATTCTACTTTTTGAAAATGTAGATATATTGTGTTTATGACGGCCTTTATTTGCTTGGTTTGCCAGTGTGGGTTTGAACCCCGTTAGGCGCCAGACATTTGTGTCCTTGGGAAAGGCACTTGACACAAATTTTCCACATTTCAAAAGTGGGAATGGGTACCCAGCTAAACACAGCGAAAGATCTTGTCAAGTTTGTCATCTAAGTTTAGATGCTTAATCAGCTGAAGTTACACTGTATGCTTTTCAGAAAGCCGAGAATATTTCAGAGTGTTCTAAGGTCTGCTGGGGTTATAGTATAGATTGTAAAGTATATAGAGCTTGCTGTTTAGAGGGGATTATATTATGCACTATATTAGCCTGTGCTGGAGAACTCACAGACAGACACAAACACACCACCCTTTCTCCACCAATGTCCGATTTCTCTGGAGAACTCACAAGACTTGAAGGTAGAGACAAGCAACATGACAGCATGCAGACAAACATACACAAACATCGCCCACCCACCTCCACATACACACAAACAGACCAGACACACATAAAAAAAGTACTCACAAGACTAGAAGGTGCAAATGAGGAAACTGGAATGTGACGGCCGGCAGACAAACATACACACAGACACCATCTATCACCAACTCCCAAGACTTGAAGGTAGAGATGAGGAATGTGACGGCCAGCAGACAAACGTACACACAAACAGACACACACACACACCACCCATCCCCAACTCACAAGACTTGAAGGTACAGACGAGGAACGTCATGGCGTGCAGAGAGTGAATGTCACACCTCTCAGTCTCACTGGTCAGTCTTCTCTCTACCTCTTCCAGGAACGTTCTAGAAAAAGGGTGGAAAAACAACACCAGGTTAATTAATCCTATCCGTAGCCCTGGGGTCACTGTGTACCCCCCGGGGTTGTATTCTTCACATTTTAGAATACCTCTAGAGCGAAGATCTCTTTGAAACTTTCAGTATTTCTCAAAAAATCATTTCGACAGACTGCTATGCAAAGCGTACGGATTGGATTAAAGAGTAAATTTCCTCTTTGGAAAGTGGTGTCACAGAGTTCTCCATGTCGTATAGACACGAGAGTAAAACACGACGTACTGATACGGTAAAGGAATGCCAGATTAATTTATTCTGTGATAATTATGGAATGTTCTAGAGCTGGAACACCCCCCCACCCCCCATCAAATTAAATGTTCAAGAATAGGGTGGAAAAAGAGAACTGGGTTATTTAAAGAATGTTCTAGATCAAGGTGAAAAAAACCAACAACACCAGGTTAATTAAGGAATAAGATAAGATAAGATACATCTTTCTTGTCCAGATCCCGGCACATTGGTGTTTCACCACGTACACACATACACACACACCCACATACACACAAACATGCACATGCACGCACTTGTGCACACCCGTATACACACACCCTCTTCCCTCACACATCCTCTCTTCCACACACATCTGTGCACAGAACCATAATAATATAATAGTATGCTTGCACAAACAGACTCAGTCACATGCATAATAATATAGGTGGTGAAGCTAGAAACGTACTCAATATTCTGATTGTAACTCAATGGTATTCTGAATGTGGTGGAAAAACGAAATTGGGTTAATTAAGGAATATTCTGGAGCATGATGGAAATACATCCGTTTATTACAGAATGTCCCAGAACATGGAGGAAAAACAAAACTAGATTCATTAAGGGATCTTCTGGAACATGGTGAAAAAACACCAGGTTAATGAAGGAATGTTCTAGAACATGGTGGAAAAACAGCGGGTTCGTTAACAAACGTTCTACAAAAAAAAAAAAAGGCTTGGGAAAACAACATTGGGTAACTGTTTTTGCGGGAATGCTCTACAACAGTACGGTAACTCTCTCTCACCTTTTATTGGATGATCGTTTCTTGACAGCAGCCAGGAGTGTCGCCGACAGTGGTGGGGGTGGTGGGAGTGGAGTAGGAGGCTGGCTGCTTTCCTGGCCTCCCCCCAGTCTGTCCTCCTCACTAGCAACGAGCAGATCCCGTATTATACATCGGAGCATGGCTGCATGAAGTTTTTCCACTTGTTCCACATCTCTGCCGCTGCATGTCAACTCTTGGAAAATTTCCGCAAACACAGCAGACTCCACGAGGAGGGGATGAGGATGAGGAGGGCTTGTGGTGCTAGTGCTGGTTCTACTTCTCTTAGTTCCTCCCTCCCCCTCACCTGATCGATCTTCCTCATCTTCCATCTCTTTCTCCTCCTCCTCCCTATCTGCAGAAGCTGTGTGGAGAGAGTCCAGGATCCGACATAGACAAGAATTAACCACGGATATTAGTTTGTTGTTATTGTTTCTGTTGTTGCCAGTGGCGTCATCGTTGTTGCTGTTGCTCCCGTCATCTCCCTCCACATTTGCCATATTCGTTTTCCGTTGAGAAGAGTTGCGCACTTGACTCATCTGGTACAGACAAGCCAAAACCCCGTGCATCACATCAGTGGGCAGGCAGGGGAAGTCCAGGGCTGTCAGAGATGTGCAGACGTCCACCAGGCGATCAAACAAGCCCTGGTTGTACGCATCAACCATCAGCAAACACCGCGACATCTTCAACACCACCGCTATCAGCTGTCCAACCACCTCACACTGATGCAACAATGTATCTTTCGAAGAATTTCTTAGTTTCTCCAACAACACCTCACCTGTCCAGGACAGAACTTCGTCCAGCGACTTGCAAACATCTTCTTTAATGGCCTTCGCAACCGCATCCATATCACGACCTTTACCTCCCTCAAATAAGTGTCCGTTGACACCAACAAAAGCCAGCAGTCGAAGGTATGTGGTAAACACTTGGACCATCAAACTCTCCTCTACAGCAGAGTTCCCCACCCTCCTATCATCATCACACAAAAGTGCTGTCAGTTTCTCCAATATCGGCCTCATTGCTTTGAGGACAGAGTTCAAATCCTCCATGTGACGCCTCACCAGTATAGGTTGACACTCTGCTTGGGTCAACATTTCCACCAGCCACGTCATTGCGACCTTGGGCTCAATGGTTGCTTCCTTCTCCACCGCAAACCCTACCACCTTCTTTGCTTTCTTTTTCTTTTTACTTTCTTCTATCTCAGCACCTTTCTTCTCCTTGTTGGAGCTCGACTCCCTGTTCTCCCCTCCTTCAATGAGCTGACAGAAAGATTCTCTGACCATGTCCAGAACTGACCCGGCTTGACCCCACAACACCAGAGACTTGACCATCACCGCAGAGTCCAGCCTCTGACGATCCGCACCGCTCCCAGAGTTTTTTAGTCTCTTCACCAGGTTCTGGCTGACCAGTGGAAGTGACCGGGATGGTAGGTGGCCCGCTAGTGCAACCAGGGCTGTGTCCAGGTTTGGATCCTGTGAACATGAGGAAGTGTAGATAGAGAGACAGGGGATTTGTGCGGGGGGAGAGAGAAGAAAGACGAGAGAGAGAGAGAGAGAGAGAGAGAGAGAGAGAGAGAGAGAGATAGAGAGAGAGAGAGAGACAGACAGACAGACAGACAGAGAGAAAATGTGAGAGTGAGGGAAGGAATTTCATCTATTTACCTATTGATATCATTCAATGACAATCTTGTGACACACACACACACACTAACCAGAGAAGAAACCATCAAGTCTCTGACAGTTATATGGAGTTTCTTCGCCAGTCCATCCTTAAGATTGACAGACAAACACACATACACAGACAAGACAGACAAACACTTACTAAGGTGAGAAGAATCCATCAACTCTGTGACACTTATGCAGTTCCTTCGCCAGTTCTTCCTTCAAACACACACGCAGACACACACATACACACACTAACCTGAGAACTGGCCATCAACTCTCTGACAGTTATACATAGTTTCTTCGTCAGTCCATCCTTCAGACCAGCCTCTTGACCAGCATCCAGTTTCTCGGCTATACCAGTGTACATCAGATACATCGCCTCCACCACACCCCTCAGCATCACCGCACCGTCACTTTGGTCCTCTCCGTTACCAGCACCATCACTGCCACTGCTGTGTTGCATGTCTGCGTTGGCCACACTTGACTGAGGGGGAAGAAAGAAAAGAATGTCTGAATATTACTGCTCAGAGAGCGTTAAAAATTTTTTTAATGTAGGTATTTTTACACCCGTATTGACACAATTAGGTCATAAAAATACCAAACATTAAGGGTGTTATTAGAGAGTGACATACAAAGAAAAGAAAGAGGAGAAATACGGACAGTAGATGTGTGTGGGGTGTGTGCGTATTTGTGGGTACGTTTGTGAGAGTTCAGTGTTATTGATACTTGTATGAGATAATTTTCACCTGTCTTGTTGGGCTGGACTTCTTCCTACTCCGCCCCTCAATAGTGTGTGTGTGAGTGTGCGAGCTTTTGCGTGTTCGAGTGTGTGGATGTGATGTGAGTGTGAGTGTGTGGGCGTATGTATTGTGTATGTGCACTCGTATGAGTGTATGTTTGTCTCTCTGTGTGTGTATGTGTGTGTCTATGTATGCGAGCGGTGTATGTGTGTGTGTTTGTGTATGTGCGTGTGAGAGTGGTGTACACGTGTGTCTCAAAGCATTGTTAACACCCTTGTGAGAAACTACTTACCTGTCCTGCTGTTCCCGACTCCCTTCCACTCTGCCCTTCCTTGCCACCAGCCCGCGATGACGACTTTCTTCTCGCCCTCTTTGATCCAGACGGTGTTTCGTTCTTGTCATCTGACAGTCGACTGGCATCCCTGCTGCTGTCACTATTGTCGCTTCTATCAGCCACACTGTCATCAGTCTGTTGTTGCTGTTGTCGGACAGTCTCCAGGGCGTAGCGGCACAATAAAGTGATGTACTTGGCACATTCTTGCACTGGCAGATGCTGGGGTAGGTGGACGAAGAACTGACGAGCCGCGCCTGGGTTACCCTTGATCAAGGTCAGACAGCGTTCAATCTGGGGGGATGGGGAGAGGGGTGGGGAATGGAAAACTTTAGACTTTAGGTACTGACAATTGACATAAGAATAAGATGTGGGGG